GGCTATTAAGAAGAACTGGGACCTCTCATTGGAATGATGTAGCCCTTCATCCAGGCTGAGTTCTTAGCTATTTACTTCTTATCGTAAGAAAACTGTGTTTTATAGTCATGTGCAGTAGAGTGCTGTTATTCCTCAGATCATGCGCTTTAGGAAAAATCGGTATCTACGAGCCTGGTGTATACTTTAATTCATCCCAAGTAGAGTCGAATTACTTTCAGTGACATAGTATTTTGCCTGTCATGATCATTTCTCCTTATAGTCCTAATCTTGTTTTAAAACTAGTAGGCCGCGTGGTGTAATGTAAGCTTCATACCCCAGGCGCGGTCGCTACGCTTAAGCGTTATCCCATTAATACCTGACAAACTCGTGTGCTAAGCGCTCGCACCAATAGGAAACATTGGTTTCGACTTAATAAAGGCTAAACGTTTATTCAATGAAGCTGAATTACTCAAATTGAAGTATTCTTTAGTCCTTTCTGGTTAATTCTGATGGTATATTTCTTGTAGAAAATTCTGGAAACACTACTTTGATTCAGAAGTCGATATGCATTCGTTAAGTCTTGATAAACGAGCGTTCTCTTCGAATCCTGTGGCGTTTACGACGGACCGCTGTTTGTCGTGATGTTGTTACCAAAGCGTGTGTTGTTCGTGCACAATTGTTGTTTCGCCTAAAAGCCACTGCCATCCTTTCTTTCTCATCGTTACCGTCGCCGTTGTCACTGATGAAGCTTGCTAATAGAACATAACTGCGCTTCCGGATCAGTCGACATTTTGTCTGAGAAAGAAAATACATGTCTAATACATGTGCGAGTTTTCAAATAATCCCACGGGTCTATTTAAGACACTATTCAAACGACTCGATTGCACAGACTCACCTCAGAGCGGTGTCATATATAGGAGCCTCGATCAAAGTGACCTCACTCGGAAATAATTTTTATATACAAATTATATTAATAAATAAATTTCGATAATATTGAACTTTTTGGAAATTTACGTACTTGACGTCATCAAAATTCAAACCTGAGGAATTGCCGATCCTCCCCAGTTTTTTTCTTTCAAGCTACATAACAATTCCTTGTACAAATTGCTCTTCGCATTAAGATACAGTGCGGCTCAATTTCTAAGCTTTTATATGACGCTGTATTTAAGTGGCAGTCGAGTGAGCTGTAGCCTGAGAAAACCAGTCGACATCCAGTACTGATGGCGCTTCGCTACCCAGAACTGGGTGGTGCTTCTGATTGGTTAAAAATTTGCTTCAATCAATCACATGTTCTGCCCAGATCTAGGTAGCGAAGCGTCATCAGTATGGAATTTCTGCGCTCGTTTTTCAGACGTCATCTCGCGAGGAAACAATTGCGTGGCGTACATATTTGACAGTCAAAACCAGCAATTTCTTTAAATTCAAATTCAGAAGCGGTCACACTAGTTGTGTAGATTACCTGAACTTTTGTCCCTTTCAGTTTCTAGGAGTTGGGGAAAACCTTTTTATTTTCCGGTAACCGATCGTTGTCGATTACTCACAGTTCTGCGCACAGCTTCCCCTTCGGAAAGAGAACTGATGCATGAAAAAAATTTGTTACTATAGCTTAGCGGTGGCATTTCGGTTCCTGTGCAGTCTATTGCCGACCATTGAAAGAAGGAGTGATTTGACCTTCCAGTTTATTTGAGGTAAAGGTATTTATAATTTTTTAAACAGTACGCAAACGATTTCTGAAAGCGTTTGACAATTTAATAGCTTATTTAATTTATACTGTTTTAAGGCGAACCACGGGGTCTGTAGCATATATAAGGTAGGTGTATGTATAAGAAAACGCAATGGAAAATCAGAGACTATCAGGCGAAGCCGGTGAAACAATTGAGAAGAACTGAGTACGGTTATTGCTATCAATCTATATGAACATTTAATTCCTATGAATAATATGAATTTAAATACCTTCTTTATCAAAATTAGCCCGAAGAAAACGCGATTGAGCTTGAAATTTTTTAATTAGAACTCTCAGGCAACCATAAACGATATTTTGTGTGCCTATTTTGACGTATCCGGCAGCGGTTTTAGCATCTAACCATAGGAGATTAGCATTTAAAAAATGACAAAGAATATAATTTTCAGTTTCGGTTCCTAGCTTAAAAAAGAGGGAAAACGCCTTCTGCTATACAATGCACAGTATGCCTAGTCCCTGCACGGCTTTTTCCCAGTCACTCTCGGTCAATTCACTTCAGTGACGTATCCAAGGCGACCAATATAGTGTCGTTTCGTTAATTAGGAAAGCTTTATTCTCAGCACAGGTTAAGAATTTCATTTTCATTCATCTTAACTCTTTTTATTTTTTATTTTTGCTCTATAAACTGCTGGGGGAGCCGAAGAATTTCGCCGCCAGTGAAAAACTTGGAGACTCAGTTGACCCGGTACATTTATACAGCATGAAACTATACTCTTCATCTTGCTTCCTTTTTCGAGCCTGACGAGGACAGTTGCACAATTTGAAGTCAACAACATGGCA